GATTTATATTAAAGTCATAGTGGATACTTCAGACCTGCCCGACCCCTGACCAGGAGCTGGGGCGGTGGGTTTAGCAGAAGGCAACTCCTCGGGGGTGGGCCGCTCTGTCTTCACTGCGGTCCTCGCGTTCAGAGGAACCTGGTGGGACAGAGGAAGCGGCGGAAGGCGAATGCAGCCGGCGGAGGAGCCACACGTGAAGACACACCCTGACACGTTTCTAATAGACTAGCACCGCTCTCTGGAGAACTATTTATCCTTCGACGAGATACATACTGCTGTCAGAGGAGGTTTTCATTTCATTTTTAAAGATCTAGTTAATTAAGGTGGAAAACATATATGCTAAACAAAAGAAACATGATTTTTTCTTCCTTAAACTTGAACACCAAAAACAGTGCACTCACACACGTGGGGGTAGCGGACCTGTCAGCATGTTGGGAAAGGAGACTCTGGGGTAATCACGCAGTTCTGATATACTTACTCATCCTGAAGCTCAAGAGTGCAGTCTTGTTTCAAATATAGTATATTGTCTATTTTTAAGGCCTCATCTGGTCTCTGTTTTAATAATTTGTTTGTCAGAAGACCCTGAAGTATACCTAGGTCTTTTTTTGAAAGTCTCTAAAATCAGAATCATTTTTTAATTTAAGGTTCTACAAATAATTGTTAACTGCAAACATTTTATTTTAAAACGTTGATAGACTGATATTTCTTGGAAGAAAATGTAAAATATCAAACACTGGTTATCACTTGTGATAGGAAAGAGAATATCAATCTGTTGTTATTTCTCGTTAGAAATGTAAACCTTCAATACCTGTCGTAGTTACTGACACTACTTCAAAACTATTATGAAAGGGACATTGCTCATGGATGCTGTGCATCATTTTCAGATTTATAATTGTTTTCACCCTAAAATAGGGCATTAGTTGAACTTTGGAGTTCTAAACAAAATCCTGTAGGTTTTTAAAATTCTGCCCCACGTGTTTTAGACGAGCTCTCCACGGCTGACAGCACCGACCTTTGGTCCCCAGGGTCAGGTGTCGGGGGTGGGCAGGCGGCTCGTGCTGAGGGAGGCCCGGGCAGACGTGCTCTCCATCCTGTCGTGTTGCTGCGTTTTGTCTGTGATCTCCAAAAGTGACATCTTTATGTAGAGATGGTGGCAGTTCATGTGCCTTAGATGTGACATGCTGCTTCTCGACCCTGGTTTGCATTTGGCGTCTTTCTGGAAAGTGATCGCTTAACCAGACTTTTCTCTCCTCCACTAGATCTTTGTCTTGACAAGGGCCCTCAGACAACCCTGTCCCTGCAGAGGGGAGGCCAGGCTCTCACGCGGCTTCTCGAGCCTCCACTGCTTAATTAGCACAGATTCCAAACCTTTAGGCCCCAAAACTGAGCTGCCCAGTTCCACTCCAAAGGAGGCAGGTGTGGGGCAGGAGCCGCACCGTCCTGTGCCCCCACTGGGCACGGGTGCTCACACAGCTCAAAGCAGAGCCCTCTCCGCATTCCAGAGACCGCCGCTCCGGGGCCTGGGCAGGCTGGCCTGTGGGTGTCCCTGAACTACTGCCCCGCCGGGGAGGCTGGCCCAGGGCCGCAGCGCTGGCCTGCGTGTGCCGGACGGCACTCGGCTCACTGTTTACTCCTCCACGGTCCAACTGTGATGAGCAGCCTGCAGCCCCGGCCGCGCCCCTGCTATGCACCACGCTCCATGGTGCTCCTCCCACTGATGGGTGCTACACGTGACGGGTGCTTCTTGGGCTAAACCAGCGTGTGAGCCTCTGCATCTGTGCCGCTCGTCCGGAAGACGCGCCCACAGTTGGCCAGCTGGGCGGCACCCTTCAGACTGCCTGCCCCTGGGCTCTCCCCTCCGTCACACGGGGACAGCTGGGTTGGTGCCCAGTGGCCTACCTTGTCTCTGGTGCTGCCGCCTGTCCTGGGTGTGCCTTCGCCCCAGTGCCTGCTGGAAGCGCCCTCCTGTCGCGCACCCACCCCATGCATTCGTGAGTGACCCCGTTGGCCCCCAGCCCCATCATGCCTCTTGTGGTCAACGCTCGGTTCATCCACCTTTTTCCTCCATCTCCTGGAATTGCTGTGGGGGCACATCAGGGTCACGGCTCCGCCCTGCGATGTAGTCCATGTGTCCCTGCTCACAGAGGAAGGGCGGCCTGCAAAGTCGTGCGACGACATTCCTTTGATGTTGTCCCTGACCACCTCCAGGCCAGTCCCCTGGGTTTGACCTTGGAGGTCTGGAGGAGGTAGGACCACTGGGCCGTGTCTAGCCTGGTTTTAGGGGGCTTTCCTAGAACAGATATTAACAGGGAAACTCCTGCAGCCCCTGTCCCCTTGCCGAAAGTGCGTGTGATGTTAACGGATCTAGGATGAGCACCACCTTCCTCGTTCTGCTAACACCGCTTCCCTGTTCTCTGGGTTTGAGCCTGGTTTGGGTCTGGCCACCAGGAAGCACTCAGAAGTGTCCGTGTTTGCTGGGCACTTTCCCATGGCCCTTCTCAGACAGATGCTCCTAGGAACGCAGTGGGACCCTCCTGGCCTGCCACCTGAGCAGGGGTGCGACTTAAGTAGCTGTCACTGTTCCCAGGATAAAGGCGTTAGCGTGGCCGAGCTGCACCCTCCACGGTTGGGGCAGAGAGCTAGGGATGGGGCATGGACTGCCCTAGAACAGACGCCCCAGGTCTCTCCCCGCAGGGGCGGTCAGTGGTGGTGTTGGAGGTGGCCCTCCTCCCAGTGGACGTGCCTGTGCTATTCCATCCTAGGACTCCTGGGGGCCCTCCTCTGGTGCTCACCTCCTGGGGCCAGCCTCGGGCTGTGCTCTCCTGGTGCCGAGGCCCTCTCCACCTCACAGGGTCTCAGCCACGAAAGCGCAGGGTGGCTGTACACTGTGTCCGTGGGCAGGCATCCCATTTTCTTCAAAGGACAGAATTCCCAGCAGGTCAGAACTGTCCCGCTGCTCTAAAGGAACCAGCACTGAGTTTTGTGCGCGTGAGCCCAGGCGGTCTGCTGCCCTGGCTCCTCTGTACCCCGACTGCTGCCTCCGCACCGTGGACCACCCGTCGCTGCTCCCCACTGCAGGGGAGGCGACCCGGGGCGGCCACTCAGGCCCCTTGCAGCAGCTCCCCTCAGGCCGAGCTGAGCCACACACAGGCCGTGGCTGCCTGTGGGCCCGAGTCTGGCCCTTGGGTTCCAAGGCGTGTGCCGGGGAGTGCTGGTCGCCGGAGCTGGAGTGCATCTGTGCCATGTGGGGCCAGGCTGCAGTTGGCTGAGAGCGAGGGGCCTGTCCAGCAGCATTGGTGGGCCAGCGAGTGGGTATCTGGGGGCCTCACTAGACTCTCTGGAAGGGACACCCCAGCCCCGGGTGGGCCGCTGGCCCTCTCTTTCTAGCTGGGCTTTTCTGCTTCCCAGGCTGTCACCAGATGACAGGGTAAAAGCTAGGAGTTTGTGTAAACCGGGTCTAAGGCCATGGGAAAGGCCCAGAGAGCCTCTTCAGGGTTAAGGATGTGACACGCCAGCCCATGTGACCCGTCTTCCCAGAGCCACCTCTGCTGAGGGACACCACCCGGCCTCTTGATGACAAGATGGCTAGTAGAAGGGAGATTCTGCTCAAGAAGCTTCTTCCTGCCTCACCCTCCTTTTCTTCTTCCCGGCCCTGTCCCTGTCCCTCCTGTGGCTGCCACCCGGATGGCTGCTCCCCCACCCCCACAGCCCATGGGCACTGTGCCTGAGTCGGTTCTTCGACAGGCCTGGCGCCCCAAGACTTCCCCTGACCACATGTGGCCTACCTTGGTGAGGGTGCCAGGTGTGAGGCAGTCCCATGGGGCAGCCAGGCCTCCCCTGGCCGCCTCAGTCTGCTCTAGGGTCCTCAGTCAGCAAGGGCCACGTGTCCTAGCAGACGTCTGTCCCAGCACCATCATTAGCAGTGCTCCTGGCCCGACTGTCCAGTAGCGGTCACCCATGGCAGGCCTGGCACCCTTGGGGTCAGCACCAGCAAAGAAAGGGTGTGTGGTCCGAGCCTTAAACCACAGCAGCACCCAGAGCTGGTAAGTGCTGTCAGCTGAGGGGAGACGGAGGCGCCCATTCCCGCAGCTGGGCCGACACCCTCCCTCTGCAGGTTGAGGAGTGGCCCAGGGACTCTTGTCATTTGTCCAGCCAGATAGCCCCAGGAAAGTGGCTGTGCTGCTGTCCCCGGGGGTCACTGTGGGTCAGTCAGCACAGACCCCCACAGGGCTCCTGCCCGACCCCTCTCCCGCAGGTTCCTCCCCTTGGTAGTGAGCACAGCGCAGAGGCCCAGGCAGAGCGGTGAGGTAGTTCCCTTTTACTCACTGGGCTGTAGAGGGGGGCCCAGGGAGAGCCAAGAGCTCTGCACTTGAGTGTGAGGGGGGCAGGGAGTGTGCGTCACGCAGGTCTGCGCAGCCTCCACAGATCTCCACGGCTGTCTGCTCCGGAGTAGACGTGCCCGCTGCCGCCCAGGTTGGGGTGGTCTGTGCGGTGGGCCACCTGGTCGTGACTGCTCTCGTCCTGGCTGGTGCTGGCGGTCTCAGGCACATGGTGTCCAGGACCCAGGCTTGCAGCCCATCGCAACAGCCCAGAACCCTCCCAGGTGTTTTCCACCTGCCTCAGGTGTGTCCTGGACGCAGCTCAGGGCAGAGGCATGGCACTGTGACAGGGTGGCCAGTGGTGCTATGGCCGAGGCCCGAGGCCCAAGCAGAGCTTGCGTTCCATCCCCAGCTGTGTGCTGTCCAGTCTGTCTTGTGAACTCTCGCCGTGAAAAGGTCAAAAGCCCGGGATCACTGTGCCACTCCTGTGACAGTGGTGGCTTCATGACATAGTCCCCTTAGACAAGATCACCTTCAAACTAAATGACTTAATTGGAGACCACAAAAGCCGGCGTTCTATCCAAGGGCCACTCAGAGCTGTCTGTGGGACGGCCTCTGATGAAGGGATGGGGAGCCGAGGTAGAAGGCCGTGCGTGGGACGTTTGGAATTTTGTTCTCCAACGGTACACCTCTTGCGTTCAGTTCTGTTACCCAAAAACAAAGACCAAAGAAGGCCCTTCTGTCATTTGACTCTACTTTGAACCTGCCTGTGTTGAAGTCGCCATCTGTAGCGACCGCTCGCCGTGCGGACCCATCTTGATAGTCCAAGTGATCGTGACCAGTGGCTCACGGCCTGTGTTTTTCTGCTCTTCTAAGAAAAAAACAAAAAGACAGTGTAAGTTATTGCTCAGCAATAATGATGTTGTTCATATGAGTTGGCAACATGTCTGATTTCCTGATAGCATTATTATGTTTTATATTTCTGTTTACTGTACATTGTGTGTGGTTTTATTTGGTATTTATTTGTGTTTTGAGGTCTTGCAATGTTTTTGTGTTTCTGATGCTAATAACTAAAGTTTGTATGACTGTAGAATGCGAACTTTGAGATGCTAAATTGTCTTAGAGGACAATAAATCTGATTAAGGAGTCTCAGTTTCTTAAACCTGCGTCTCCTGTGCTTACCCTCCTACTGGTTATCAACCTGTGTGGCCAGAGGACCAACTCCCAGCTCCGTGTTCTGGCGCCCATCTCGAAACTCAGCAGCGTGCCCCTCTTCCACCGTGGGTGTGGGCTGCCTGCCACCTCAGGTCCCCTTAGGTGGTGGCTGGCTTGGAGCTCCCGCCAGTCTACTGCTGGACCCGGCCCTCAGCGCCCTGCCGAGATGTGCTTACAGTCCTGGTGGAGGGCCCGCTGGGTCCCACAGCCTCAGCTGCACGGCTCTCAGGGACCTTGAACCTGTGGCTCAGTTTGGACAGCACCCACCTCCTTTCTGAAGCAAGGTGGTCATTTTAAAGTGGAGCCTGTGTGGACGTGGGCTGCTGGGGTGCTTCAGTGCCCTCCTCCAAGCAGCTGCTCGTGCAGGTGTTGGGGTGCTGGGCTGACACCGGCATGTTCAGCCTGGCAGCAGGAAGCCTTGCATCTACCTTGAGGGCCCCCAAGTCAGGTGGGGGCATGATACAGCCCCTCCCCCACTGCCCTGCCCCTCAAGGGTGCTCTTAGGGTATGGTGGGGGGCCAGGTCCAGAGGAGACGCCACCACTGGGCAGCAGTGAGGGGCAGGCCCAGGAACAAGCCCCTGGGGTCCTGCAGTGATTCGTCCCCAGCCTGGCCGTCTGCCAGCCACACTGCTCTCACCATCCCCAAGCTAGTGGCAGACGCCAAGACCTGGATTCCTCCAGGACCTGGGCTGTCCCTGCCCCACCCACATGAGAAGCCCACAGCCACCCTGGCTCCCTGAGCGGCCCCAGGGAAGAGAGGCACAACCTTGTTTTCCTGGGTGATCAAGCCAGGGGTTTCCCCACAGCCTGGACCACACCAGGACACTGAACGAAATGGTAGGGCGTCCCCTGACCTGCATGCCCAGGTGCTGTGCAAGCTGGCACTGGCTGGGCAGGCCATCAGCCCACGGGCACGAGGGCATTTAACTTCCACCGAGGGACTGGCCGTGGAGTTCCAGAAGCTGGTTCGTTCTTTCATCCTGCTGGGATTTCTCTTTCTGAGTCCTCCAGGAAAGGAAGGGGGACGGAAACAATAAGACATGCCAGGCCAGAGCCCAGACCCGGAATGGTGAGGTGAGGAAGGGGTTAGTTTTGAAGAGGGCTTCTGCATGTAACACGTGGCTGGACGGAGAATTGGGGTTCTGAGTTGCCCTTCCCAGGTGGACTGCCCCACCCACCGTCTAGCCTGGGATGGGCTGAGTGCAGCCTAGGCCTTCAGCACCCCCACCACCTCCACAGTGGGGCAGCTGGGAGTGGAGAGGCAGGGCGTGGGGTCCAGGCCTGGAGAGGAGCAGCCCAGCTGGCTCCATGCACCTTGGTCTGCCTTCCCTCAGCCTAGGGAGTCAGAGAGGGGCCGTGCTGTCCTTAACTCGGTGAGTGAGATGCTAAATTGGGAATGGTGGGGCGGAAGCTGACCCTAGCAGGTGCTGCTCCCTGTTGGAGTTGGCATCGCCGTCAAGCCAGGCGGGACATCCCACACAAGCACAGGCCGAGGACAGCGCCGTTAGAGCACCTGACTTGGAGGGAATGCCGCCTTGTGAGAAGTGGGTTTTGAAGGTTCGTTTTATTTTATTTTATTTTGACAGAATTTTGCTATAGGGCATGTGTGCTTGCTGGAGAGAGACAGAAAGAAATCACCTAGGGGGTGGCCACACTGGATCCCTTTTCTATTCTCTCGAGATTTGGGGCATGCATGCACACGCGCCCAGCATGAATTTTAAGCCTCCAAGTTGAGGATTCGAACTGTGGTCAGCCATGCGAGAGTCCAGCGACGTAACCATTACACCATCTGGTCCCTTAAAGGTCCACTTTAAATGTGAGGAGCCCAGAGCCTGTGGCCGACAGTGGCATTCAGCTGCCAGATCTGCCCGCAGCTCTTTCGGGGTGAAAGCTTAGAGGCCGCATCTTGCACTGTGAAGTCCAGGTGTTTCCAGTTTTCTGAAAATGGACAGCATTTGGTTTAACCCTGAATCACCTGTCTTGTCTCTGGGGGAGCTTCAGGAAAGGTGTCATTGCCACCCCAGGGGCCGTGACCCTGCAGCAGCAGCGGCGAGTCACCCGAGGCCAGGAGGTCAACAGTGCTCGCACCCTCAGGAGCTCTGGCTGCAGCAGGAGCATCCAGTACCTGAGCTGCTCTAACCTGCTTGTTAATGCAGCTGCAGCTTTGAGTAGACGCTCTCCCTGGGGTGACCTTGGAGTACAGAGCTCAGAGGCCCCTGCCTAGGCCACCAGGAGTCCGGCTGGCAGCTGGTGAGCTCGTGGGCACTTGGAGAGCAGGTGTGAGGAGCAAGGGTCTCTAGCTGTCAGAGAGGACCGTGTGGCTCCCAAGAGGCTCCATGTAGGAAGCACTCAGTATGGCCAGGAGCTCACAGGCCCGAGCTGAAAGGAAGCACCTTTGTGGGGACCTGGGCTGCCACATTTGTCTGAGTCATTTGGCTCAGAGAACTCTGAACACTGCCAGGCCCACTGGAGTGGGGACCCACCATGGCCATGGTACTGGGCTCCAGAAGCTTCTACGCATCTCTCCAAGCCCCCAGTGGAGCTCATTGGTCACTGAGTTGACAACGCAATGGGGCAATGCAGGCAGCCTGTGACAGCCTGCACGTGGGCCCTGGCCTTCAGCCGCCCTAAGTGTCCCGCTGGGGTCAGCAGAGCCGGGCTCACCCTCAGGGCTTCCCCCAGCACATCATGCCTCAGGGAGCCCACCCCTCCCCCTGCCCTTTCCTTCCTCTCTCCTGCCTCCCTCCTGTCCTGTCTCAGGGCCTTAGTAGGCCCCCTCTTTTTCCAGAAGATGTCTGCCCGCCTCTTTCCTGGTGCCTCCACAAGCCAAGGAAGGCTGTGAGCTAGGATGACCAACCAGACCACAGGATTGGGGGCTTGTAATTGGTAGAGTTGGAAGCAGGAACCAGAGACCTCAGTGAGACCTACAGCAATGGCCTAGTTAGGAGATGGTGAATCTAGCGCTCTCAGACCACCTTCCATTCCACGTGGAGAAGGCTCTGCATACAGGGCAACCACACAGGACGGCAGTCAAGCCAGAACAGACAGACGGACAGTCAGAGGGACCTAAAGTGACTTCTGAGCCCCTGGATCCAGCCTTACCTGAGGCAGCTCTGCTGTGAGATTTCCTAGTTACTGGTGGGAGCTCTCTTGGGGACGGAGTTTCATCCATCTGCCTATCTCTGTACCAACCATCCACTCAGTTCATTTAAAGTGTCCACCATTCATCCATGCAGCCACCATTTGAGCTCATCTGCCATTAGTTTTCATCCATTCACTATCTAAAAAAAAATGCACTTTTTGGGGCTGGCAGGTAGCATAGTTGTTAAAGGTGCTGGATTCCCACATGGCTGACCGTAGTTTGAGTCCCAGACCTGGTGGCTTGCTCTCTCTCTCTCTCTCACTCGCTCTCTGTCTCTTTCTAATCAAACTGGAAAAAAATTTCTTTTTAAAAAATGCACTTTTCTCATCCACCGTCCAACTCAATGAACCATCCAGACATACTCATCCATCCAGCATCTGCAGTGTTCCCACCTGCCACCACCTACCCAGCTGCTGTTCATCTGCCACCACCCCAGCTCCCACCATTCTCCGCCCACCATCCCCCATCCTCCACCCTCCACGGTTCCGCCTCTTTTTTCTGCCTACCCACCAACCATGCGTCGATTTACCCACCCACCGTCCACTGTGAACGTGAACTTGCCATCCATCCATCCTCACCCCTCATTCACTGGCGTCTCCACCCGTCACTCCCGAACGCCCCCCGTTTACCAACTCGCAGCCACCACCCACCTTGCGGCCTGTGTCCATGTATGCACCAGTTTCCATCGTCCTCCTCCGCCCCTGGGTCACGTCCCACCCCATCCATACGCACCGTCCAGCCACTAAGCAAGGTCTGCTGCCCCCCTGCACCCGCCACCCATCCCAGCACGACCCTGCGGGACCCCATCTGCCAGCCCACCATCTTTGGGCGTCCCTGTGCCTGCCGCCTGCTGTCGCCCTATCCAGCCGCCATCCCTAGCCCATCCAGGCTGGGAGGCAGAGCGAGCAGGGTCTCCGGAGCAGACCCCAGCCTCGGTGGGTAGCCATGCGGGCAGAGAAGCGGTGGCCCGCGGGTCGCTTCGTCGCTGCCTCCCACGCCCGTTTCTCAGGGTGGCCAGGCCTACCGAGCACCTCTTCTTGCCCGCAAGGTCCTTGGGCCCTGGAGGGACCTTGCGGGGAGGCCTGGGAAGGCACCTTGGGAGGTAAATGTGTAACCCGCCCCGCCCGGTCACGTGGCCCCGCGGGGCAAAGTCTCCCGGTCTGGGCGCCGCGGGAGTGGGGCGAGATGGGCGCGATGGGCGCGCTGGGCCGGGGCCTGCTGTGGCTGCAGCTCTGCGGTAAGTCGGCCAGCGCCCAGCCCGCACTGAGCCGGGGCCCAGGCCCTGCACACCTGCAGGCCAAGGTCCTCCGAGGCGCGCGGGCTGAGGGCTCGGAGCGGGCTGCAGGCCGGGCCCGGACGGTGAGGGCGCGGCGAGCAAGCGCAGACCCCGTGGCACCCAGGCGGGCCGAGTCCCTGCTCCTCGCGCCTCCCGAGGACCATCCGGGTCCAGAGGCTCCCAGCCCCCTCTGCTTCGTACCGCTGGGATGCGTTTTCTGCTGCAGCTCTTCCCCGACCTGCTCGGCCTCCTCCGGGAAGCCCTCCTGACCCCGCGGCAGAGGCCCGTGCTCCCCGTCCTCCTCTTTTCACCGTTTTGGACCGACCCTGCCCTCGCTCCGGCGCGGGTGGAGGCGACCCAGGAGGGCGGCCCTGTGGGAGGGCACGCTCGAGGGGCTCTGCGGGTCCGCTCCGCGAGGCTCCCGCGGGTCTGGCCCCTGCGCCCGGGACCTGGGCCTGCGCTACCGCGGGGCCCTGACCGCCCCCACGGCCCGACCCACGCGCGTACCACCCACTGGGCTGTGGGGTCGTCACCGGGAGAGGGGACGTCGCGGCACATGGCGGGCACTCCTCGCCCCATCTCCAGCGCTCACGCGAGCCACCTACAAACTCTGGGTCCCCAACACGGACTTCGACGTCGCCGCCAACTGGAACCGGACCCCGTGCGCGGGCGGCGCACTCGCCTTCCCAGCGGACAAGGTGGCTCAGGGCTCCCTGGGTCGGGGTGCGCCACAGCCGCCTCCGCTGACCCCCTTCCCCTGCAGATGGTGTCGGTCCTGGTGCGCGGAGCCCACGCCGTCTCCCACCTGGTAAGGCCGCGCTGCGACGGGGCGGGTGGGCAGGGCCCCGGCTTTGTCCAGCACCTGAGCCCCACGACGGCTGCAGGGCGCTAACCTGTCCCCTCTGGAGGGGCTTCTGGGAGGAGGGCCCCTGTCCCCCCAGAAAGGGCGGAGGCGCCACCTGGGCTCACTGCCCTTCTGCCCGCCTGCCCGTCCCCTGCCTTCTCTGAGGTTTGCCCCAGGAAGCCCCCGCCCCTCCCAAGTTCTCCACGCCCAAGGGCCCGAAGGTGCTCAATCCACCGGGTCGGGCCCTGGCCCCGGGAGGCCGCAGGACTATGCAGGCTGTTGGTGGGGCAGCCCCAGGCCACGGAGACCTCGAGCGCAGTGAAGAGTGGGAACGACCGGCAGGTTTGTGGCACGTGAAAAGTATCAGAAATTCTTTTTTAAAAAGATTTTTGCGGTGGCGACTAGCAGTTACGCTTTTGCAAAGCATTCAGTTTCCCCCCAGAAAAAAAAAAAAAAAGATTTTTGCGGGACCAGCAGTTGGCATAATATCTATGTTGCTGGACTCCTATGTAGTCGACTGCAGTTCGAATCCTGGACCCGGTGGCTTAAACTCGCTCCGAGTGCATGTACATGAAATCACCGAGTGCGTGAAATCACCCCCAGGGGGGATGGCCACGCCGCAATCCCTTCTCCTCCATTCTCCTCTCAGGAACCTGGGCACACATGCACATGCGCCCAGCGTGAATTTTAAACCGCCGGGTCCAGGACTCGAGCTGCAGTTGATTACATGGGAGTCCGGTGATGTAACCGTGACGCCATCTGCTGGTCCCCACGTTCGTGTCTTTAGTGTTATGGCCACGCTCTCCCTCCTGTTGAGGCCAGCTGGGCCCTGGCAGGTGCCCGCCCGGTTGAGCAGCCATGGTTATGACCCACCTGTGGGA